AAGAGAGAAGAAGCAGTCCAGATCATGCCATCAACCATTCTACTCGATCACCACCTTAACCCTCTGATCAATCCGCACTCAACCAGACAACCTGAGCATAGGAAAGAGAAGAGGAGAGAAGGAACCACTTGATCGCGGCTTTGATTCAAGCTCGACCATGAAGCCCACTTTGAGCCCATATACTCGACCTCCACGTTCCAATGGGCCTGTTAAGCGGACTCGAAGCCCACTTACTTATCCTTGTCGTTTTTGCTATAAATAAGTCTCTAAGGGTTTCCCCTGAGACATCGACTTTTCATTCTCTTTTCAATTACGTTTTAGACTCGCAACCTAGTTTCGTTCAGTAGCCGCTTTTGCTTCTGAAACTCTGTATTTTCGTTTCTTCTAAGTTATTGAGATTTCGCTTTCGTTTCCTTGTTCGTTTCTGTTTTATTTCCTTTAATCTTAGAAGTTATGCAATCATCAATCGTTTCTGTGTCTTTGAGCATGTTGTCTGATTAGTGACTAGAATTTCTGAGGATGGGATAGAGTAGATGTGAGACCCTTAGTCAATTCTGATGGTTAAGTGTAGTTTTATTGAATCCCTTCTGGATTAGTTGTGTTTACTGCTTATTCCTTTCTGATCAACTGGAATTCGATCAAAAGCATTCCCGCACCCAAAAGGTGTTCGATGGAATGCTTGATCTACTAATTCCAGTGATAATCGTCTCTATCCCAAGGGATTGGCCGTTTAGAGCGGTTATTGACTTTAACAGTCGGTTCTTATTGCCTGCATAATTAGATTCCGTTAATGGGAATTAGTCTGGGCTAGCTTTGCTTGAGGATTTGTTGCACGGGAGTGAATAAGTTTGTTGTTGAACCTGTTGTCTAGGGATAGCTTCATTGAGAATTGTTAACCATCATAATTGATTATGGAGTCCACACTATTCGATTACCCCATCCTTAGGAGTTTCTTATCCAATTGATTTATCTGTTTGCTTACCTGCTTCATTCACCTTCTCTGTTACTTGCTATTGAATTTGATAATTGTCTGTTTTTGGACCAGTTTACTCGATCACAGCCTCCCTTCTGGCAGTGAGTCTTGTGATCGAGTATAGCAGTCCATTTCTGCAAATTTACTGTTTTCTGCATCAATCACTAGAACTGTTAGAAAAATAACCAATTCATGCTTGGCTTGACTTAGTGCTTTCTGATCATATCTCATCTGTTTGCATCACACCTAAAGTGGATTGACACCTAAAATACTACAACGACAGGATAGTGTTTTAGGATTAATTGATCTGAAAAACTTATTATCAGAAGTCATTAGACTCACATAAGGCAGCAGTTGGTTCAGAGGTCTACAAGGGTCTGATGGGGTCCGAAACAAAGGTTATGGGAGGACATGAAGTAAGTTCAACACATGCTCGACCAACTGATTCCACGAACAACTCGAAGAAGCCTCCAACTTGCCCTGAGAGCTCATGCTCGACCAAACAACTCGAACAACAGCTCAAAGCAAGCACTCTGGCATCTGATGATTGGTTAGAGCTAAAGGAGAGGTCGAAATGGCAAGACAAAGCCATAAGGGAGTTAACAGACACTGTGAGAGAGCTGAAGGATCAAATCAAGGAGCTCCATGGAAAAGCCAACCTAGTGCCACTCAACATCAAGGACGTCCAAAATGATGGAGCCACTACTCTGGTCAGCAAAGCGGGATGTGAATTCACATTGAAATGGTCTAGAGAAGAAGACCATCCTCTCGATCAAAAAGAAGATTTCTTAAAGGACATGGCCACTGAGTATCCAATTGCAGACCTATCAAGAGAGCATGTTGAGTTTGACGATACATCTGCTGAAGAAGGAGAGGAGACCTCATTTCCTCTCTGCAAACCACCTTAAGCCTAATGGGTGTGAGAAGTCAAGCTTAGAGACTTAAAACAAGCTCACTTGGGAGGAAGTCCCATGTCTATCCATGTACATATTTTCTATTTTCCTTGTTATTTTTAATGCGTTTTGGTAATATTTTCAGGAGAGATAAGTGTCATGAGCTGAGTGAAGTGGATTATGGCTCTGAGTGTGCAACAGAACACTCGACCACATCATGCAAAGAGCAAGTGTAGCTGTGCGATCGAGTATGAAATGGGTCTCAGTTTCAAGATTTTTGAAGTTTCAACATGTCACTCTATCACACGAGGCCACATGCTGATGAAGAGTTGCAGTCGAGTATGATGTGATTTTTGATCCAAATTTTTCAAAATCAAGATCATACTCGACCAACAGAAGCCATATGGTAATGAGATGACATGGTCGAGTATCAAGAAGGAGAAGGAGCAGAAGCACAACCGTAAGACTCCTCAATGGCCTGGCAGTACACACAAGCAGGCATTGATGAGCACATCAACTCCTTCTTCAGTTGAGGTAACAACTCCACTTCCCCATTGTTTATACCATCTCATGTCTTCTTTCTTTATTTATTTGTCCTGAGTACTCTCTTCCAAATTTTTGTTACACAGAGGACTGTGTAATTTAAGTTTGGGGGAGGGCTCAGGAAGTATCTGATGAGTTTGCTTTGTTCTTGTTTTCAAATTTTTCTTGCATTGTACATATTGTCTGCATTCATCTATGTCATTGAAAAAAAAACCCTAAAAATTTGAAAATGGTTTGACAAAAACAGAGTGTTCATATAGTTTGCATTGTCATTTTAGGATTGTTTTAGTATGCTTTCACTTAGGATTCTTGCATCATGCATTTGCATTGGGGATTATGATGATTATAACCTTGTAAATATGCGTATTCACTAAGTAGATTCACTGCCCAGGTTGTTAGTTCTCTAATGCATAATCGATTGAACTTGAAGTAAGACCGCACCATCTTTTGAATTCAACGCTTGATTTTCTTGTTCTTAGTCGAAACTCGCTTTGATCTGATGCCATTCCCTATCAATTTGAACCTGAATTTTGACTTGTAATTATCATAATGTGCATTGTGTTATGAACTCATGGATACCTTAAAATACTTGGACTTTCTTTTATCTTTTGATCACTCTTGCTAGTCCAAGTAGCTGACTCCCATCATTGGAGCAGTTATTCCCTACCCTAAGCCTTAACCTTCTTTCAAGCCATTTATCATTTGTGTGTGACTGTGAGGCCTTATTTCGATTGAGCTTGGTAGAAAGTGTTCGGTCTGTACCGACAAGGATAGTATCTCATGTAGTTCTAGTTCACGTTATCTGGACTAGATAGGACTAGGTGGGTGCTTAATTCTGGGTTTGGATTGTGCTTAAAAGAAAGATAAGGTTATGTTCATCATTGAAAGAAAAGAAAAGGGAAAAGTGTCCTTAGGAGAAGTAGCCTAAAGAAAGAAAAGTCTAGTAAAGGATTTGGGAATGTTAAAGTAAAGAAAAGGGTTCTGTAATAGCTTAAAGAGAAAGGATAAAAAGCCTTGTGTTATAAAAAGATTAAAATATCATTAATCCGCCACTTCAATACGGATTAAATCTTAATTTTTTTTTAATATCATCAATATTAGACATATTAAATCAGTCTCATTTAGAAAAGATTGTATAAAACCAAAAATTGTCCCGTGATATAATGTTCCTTAATAACAACTGTAAACTATAAAATATAAATATTTTAAAAAATTATAAAATTTGCAAAATTTTATATATAATAAATAATCATTAAATTTTTAAAATTACTACTTTTAGAGAACAAATCACGGATCAGGACCCTAAAGAAGGATCGTCTCACTCCAACTAGAATAAAGATGAGCTAGTTAGCGCTGGAGTTTTCTTGCTTCTTCGCCTCTGGATAGTAGTTTGAATGAATCTTTGATACTGGGATTAACTCTTGTCAAAATTGTAACAGGTGTACCTGACGCTATTCCGGTAATAGGATCACCTCTTGTAGAATTATTACGCGGAAGTGCTAGTATTGGACAATCCACTTTGACTCATTTTTATAGTTTACACACTTTTGTATTACCTCTTCTTACGGCCGTCTTTATGTTAATGCATTTCCTAATGATTTAAGAAGTTACATGACGGGTTATATTTCGGAACTAAGTTATATGGTGGACGAGTTTGAATCAATATTTATAAAATTTTAAAATATCATTAACATGCCACTTTGATACAGATTAAATCTTCAGTTTATTAAATATAAATGTCTTAGAGAATGATATGATTTGTAAGCTTTTATATATAATAAATAATTATTAAATTTTAAAATAAAAATAAATTACGGGACGGGTTAAAAAATTACGGAACGAGTTATATTTTGGAACGGGTTTATATGGCGGAAAAATTTGAATCAATATTTATAAATATCATTACCATGCCGCTTTAATACGGGTTAAATCTTCAGTTTATTAACAATTGTCTCGTGGACTCGTGGTATACCGTTACTTAATAACAATTGTAAACTATAATATAAATAAATATTTTATAAGGAGAAACAATTTACAAAATATTCTTATACTAACTTTAAAAATAAATCATCCCGCGGTATACCGCGGGTTAAAATCTAGTACTCATATATAAATACTAACGACGAATTTGGTTTCGGGTTTCTGTGTTAGATGTGTGTTTTCTCTTATAGTGGTTCTTGCTGCCATCATACGCACCTGAAAAGCCTCTACAGATAAAGGCTGTGAATCTTACATGAATACTTTGTTCCCTCTTTATAGGTAAAACCTATGTAATGTATGGAAAGACTTGTTGTTTAGACGCTTTCTCTCTGCTTTCTCTGTTGTTCTTGCAGCTTATTTGGGTTCATCGTGCGTCACATAACTACATATGCTATTAATAGATACTATTGGACGTGTTATCGAGCAAAGAACTGAACTTGGTTACAGACAAGTTCTATTTGTGGGCTGAAACTTCTTCCTCTTCTCCTTCTTCTTGTAAGTCAGTAAATCTAAAAAAAAAAAAAAGTTTATTTTCTGCAAACTCAACTATGTGATAGACTAAATATATACATGATCAGGGGCGGACCCACTAAGAAGAGAGGAAGGTCAACTGACCTGGTAAAATAATCATATAAATATTTTTCTGTAAAGGATTCCATAAAGAAACTGCAGCTGAGTTGGCAAATCTGTCATTAAATGACCCCTCCAAACACTAGTTCGATTCCCAGTTGGACATCTTTTGTTAAATTTTTTACCTTTCTTTCTTATTATGACCTGGGTTAAAAAAAAATCTGGGTCCGCCCCTGTACATGATGTTTGTTTTAGGCTCTGTCTGTAGTTCTAGACTTCTCATTCCACACTCCCTACCGCTCAAGTCGCTTCTTCCTTTCTCACATGTTTGTTTCACTGCCTTGATGCTCCTCTTTACATAAAAATTAAACGGCTTATCAAGTCTGATAATCAAATTGTTATTTATGACTTCTCAATGCAGGTAACGTTGCCCAGATTACCTCTTAGACTGAAGGCCTTCTTTCCTCAAACATCCTTCGCATGCACTGACTGCACCAATGAGATATTATTATCAAATTGCTCTAGAAATGTCTCTTTTGTACTTGAAGGAGTGACTACTACAACAATATATAAGGAAATTCTGTAGATGTCTGAGCGTTTAATTTACATGTGTTTTTTCTTTCTTTGAAGTCTCATAGTAGCGTACCAAGCGCATGATGCTTTGAAGAGCTTTTACTTGGCTAGTTAATTGATCTCCTAAAAGGTAATCTGGGCAACGTTACCTGCATTGAGAAGGCATAAATAACAATTTGATTATCAGACTTGATTATGGAAAGTTAGGTTCCTCTATACATACAAATTATCAAATTGTTATCAAACTAGAAATTAACCCGCGGTACACCGCGGGCCTATAATTTTACTAAATAATAAAATTAATTTTTCTTTTTTCAGGTTGAGAGCCCGCGGTATACCGCTGGAAATATTAATTTTACATGTTGTGACATTGATTTTAATATTGTATATTTTTAGTAGAGAAAATTGTGTAGTGTATGAAAAAATGATAAATTGTTTACAATAAAAATCTGTCATATTAATTATGATTTAGCGGTAAAATGAAATTTTGAAATCTTGGTAATGAATGTTTTAGGGGTAAGGAAAATACTATGTTTTTAGGAAAACATATACTTAGACACGCCGCACGCGTTTGTATTAAACAGATATCAAAACAAAAAAAAGAATTAAAATCGTAGAAACATTACATCATTAATAGAAAATAGAGAATACACAATGAAAATAAAAATTAGATTGCTCAAAAACTGAAGCATAGATGCTGAGATATCAAAACAAAAAAAAGAATTAAAATCGTAGAAACATAACATCATTAATAGAAAATAGAGAATACACAATGAAAAATAAAAATTAGATTGCTCAAAAACTGAAGCATAGATGCTGAGAGAAGTGTGTGTGGATGAATGAAAAATGATTTGCCGAATAGCAGAGCCTATATTTATAATGTTTAGAATTAGGTTGCTTTATTAGGGTTTTAAGAAAAGCATATTCTGCAAAATATTCTATAAGTAATTAGCGTAGATATGCTATAGTTAATCGCATCAGAATATCTAAACGAAATTAATTTTAGTTTCTATCGTTAAAGATCTTAACATATTTGATTTGCGCTTTCGCGATTTTTATAATTTTGCAGTAAACCAACTTTATGACTTTCCATAGTTCAAGATCGTAGAGAATATTTGATGGTTAATCTGATAATTAGAAGATTCTATATATCTTAGCGAAATTTTTTCCCTAAATAACGAAGAAGTTACCATATACTTCGGAATTGTATTTGTTGATTTAATATTCGATTTTAAATTGAATAATTTACATAGAAGTTACCATACAAGTCCGGTAAGGTTTCTTATTTTTGCTGTCAAAAATACTCATATATCCGATTATCATTATTTCTATCAAAAATACCCAATTTATTAACTACATTTATTTTATAATAATTCAAAATAATATAAATATAACATCAAATAAAAGTGAAATGAGAATTATATAATTCTGTTTAAATTAGGTCGAGAGATTGTAAAAAATTAGCTCAAATTTGTTAATTAGCATTAACTCATCATATTTTATATCTTTTTCTGTAAAAATCGTGAAGAATATATGTCATAAATAAAGTGTTTAGATATAGAAATAGTTAAAAATATAGATATTTTTAGAGTTTATAAATTAATTTCGTTTTGGATATTGCCAAAATTTAAAGAAAGATCCAATTGAATATTTTTGGTCACAAAAAAAAACCTACCCATAAAGATTAAAATTTAGGATTATAGTTATTTCAAATTTTAAACTAATTTAGATTTTATAATTTTCATAAATACGAAAATAATTTGTTCACCTATATCAGAAAATATAACTAAAACAAATTACGTAATATTATATAAAAATTTAAAATAAATAACTATTTTCATTTTATGGTGTAGACAAATTATTATTAGTATTTATGTAATTTAGTTTCAAAAATAATTTAGAAAAATAACAAACATTAAATTTTATAACAAAACAAATTATTTTCGTAAGAATTTGTCCCCAAATTAATATTTACAAAATATTTATTTTAATCACATATTCTTTCTATATAAAAATAAGTAGTTAGATAATTATGGTTAGAAATAGTTAAGGTAAATAACAAATATGGTTAGTTTAAAGATATCATATATATATATATATATATATATATATATATAACAAATAAGATTATTTACCATTAAAATAGGTAACTTATTTGTTTTATTATACGCATATTCTCTTAAAGAAAATTAATAATTAGGTGTGGGGAGAAGTTAAGGAAATTAACAAATATGAATTAATAAAGGAATTAATTTCGTTTTAATATTGCCATAAATTTTTTCCGTTTGAAATTAATAAAGGCTTCATTTATTAGTTTGAAATTAAGACAACATCCCTAAAATTGCTTATCCAAAATCCGAATAGACTAAAACCGGGTCAAACCCGGATCCAAAAGACTTTTTGCAAAAATCCCCTGTAAAAATGTATATGTAGATTGTTATTTATGCCTTTCATAATATTATAAATTTTTTATTAATTTTAAATATATCAAATCAATGATAATATTTAAAATGTTGAAAAAATGATAATATTTAAAACTCTTAAAGAGTTTAAAATTTAATATTTCCGATAAAATTAAATTGTTTAATTAAAAACTGAATTAATCTGTATACAAACTTTTAAATTTGGATGCTTGTTAAATAAAGCTTTCTGCTCATTCGGATTTGGATTCATTTATCTTATTTATAATATGACTTTGAATCATTTTATAAACATTTTAGCCGATGTTGGACGTAGAACACACACCTTTTTCATTAATTGGGTACTATATGTCCGTTTTAAAAATTTTGAATCACAATATAGATAGAAAAAATGAGATTTTCTTAATATATGATGATAGGAGAATCATAAATTTAAATCTAAATCAAACCTTCTAAATATTTATATTATTAAATATAGAATATCCGGTTCACAATTTTGGATATGTTTTGACTCGATCCAAAATTTTTTTTGTGAAATACATTTGGTAACGGGTCAGGTACCAAAAATCTCAAACAATATTTTCACCCACCCGATAGAAAATGTACATCAAAAATACTAGTATAGATGCGCGTCTCCTAATTGTAGGGCGGTCCGGGTCGGGCATGAAAACACTGCCCTTCACCAAAGGATACAACAGAGTGAAGTACTTGATGTTGTTCTCCATTAATAGCCGATAGTTTAAGAACAGATTATTGTTTGTTAAGTTTCTTCTTCACCATTTTTCTATCATGGTTTCAGAATATTTTCATTTTAAGAAAAAGCAGGGTAGAGCAATTAAATAATGTGGGGAACGTTAAACTTATTATTGTCTTATACAACAAAACCAAAAGAAATGTGAACACTTCAGTACATGCGGGTTCAGATTTAGATGAAAGGCCGCAAATAAGTCCATTGATGCTAATACATTTCTTAACTAAACACATAAGATTGGATTAAATAGTTGAAAAGTGAAGTTAAAAAATTAAAAATAAGAAAGTAGAGATTAAAATATAAACTGAGATTTTGATATAAAATCCAGTGCTTCAACCATCTCACCTCTGTGACACATTCCCGCAAGCAACTTCTAGGAACAAAAGATAGATAGTCAACATATAATCAGTATCAGCCCTGATTTCCCACATCTGCTCTACTACGCTTTGTGGGATTTTCGTCTTCCCGTCCTCTCTTTCTAGCAAAAGACTGCATTTCAACAAAGAGCAATATTGGCCATCCAGAATCTTCTGGTGGAACACGCTTAGTTGGATCTACTAAGTAAACATGGTAGTGTCTACCCATATCCATCGAACTAAGCATGTCCAAGAAATAGGGGTCACATTTGACTTTATCAGAGACTACGACCACAGATGCTGGCTCAGGAAAGTCCACAGGTGAGTCCTTTTCCCATATAAGAATGTCACTGAACATTCTCTTATCGGGTCTTATCCCTCCAGGAAGGAAGTGGAGTCTAGCCTTCCACGTCTTCTTACCTAAAAACTTACCCCAGGAGGACATGTTCTCATCATCAACATAAGCCCAGATTGACATCTTACCACAAAAGCCGATCTTAAAAAGAGCGGATTCGATTTTCTGATAGATCCAATCAGGACTGACACCATCAGGGAATGGGAAACCGTGGAGGTCCCAAAAGACACCCATCTTAGCCCCTTCGACGGGTGTGATAGGCTCTGCACGGTTTCACATAACAGAAAACGTATAAACGAGTTAATTACGAAATAAAAGATACAAGATAGGTTAGATCTATACATTGACCATTGTTATACTATAACATATCGACTAGATCAGGGCTAGTTTAACTATGACAGATGGATCATATAAAATCTACATTGACCATTATTATACTATGACTGATCGACTAGATCAGGGCTAGCTTAAATATGACAGATCGATTATATAAAATCTAAACAAACAGATTCGGGTTAGAGATGGAGAGAGATCTTACCGGAGAAATCTTCGATCTTGTAGAGGTCTTCGCCCATGGTTCGACGGAGAGAATTGGAGGATTTCTGTCGCTAAATTAGGGTTAGAACGGCCTTTGTATTTGTCTACGGATGCGAGAGAGAGAGAGAGCGCTTGTGGGTTTTATCGCTGCGGCTGAGAATCATCTGTGCCTGGCACGTTTTTAACCGTTGGATCTCAATAAACTTTTTAAAGGTGTTACGTTACATCTGAGGGTTGTTTTTTTTTATTTTTCTTATTTTAATAATTTTTTTCCTTTATAGTACCAGAGCTTTACACGATCTCCCTTATCTGAAAACTAATCTCCCTAGCGATTAATCAGAAAATCAGATTAAAATCGGGAACTACTTTTGAGTTATTTTCCCGATTTTAATATTCTTATAACATATTAATCCAATATTTTTTTTCAAAATTATAGTAAATACATAAAAATATATTTTAAGATAAAATTTTTATGATTTTTATTAAAAAGTTTATGATTGTTATTAAAATTTGAACAAAAGTTAATGTAAAACATTACAAACTTCCAATTCAAATGTTTGAATAACAAAAGCTAAAAGTTGTCTTTTACTTGCAATATAAAAATAATCGGGATATATAAGATTAGGCAGAGAGTAATCGAATTAGGCGGAAGTAATCGGATTAGACGGAAAGTAATCAGATAACCGATTCTTTTAAGAGATTAGTCATTAACTTAGGCGGATAGGGTGGGCCTAGCGATGACACGGAGAGTAATCAGAGCTAGGCGAACAAGGACCATCTCCAATGGTAAAACCCTTTGGGGGTTCTGAACCACTTTTTTTGTTTAAATTTTGCAAAGTTCAAAACTAAGAATTCTATGAGAGGTTTTTAACCATTTTCTCTTCCAATGGTAAAATTTCTATGAGATTCTTAAGAAAAAAAAAATTCAAATTTCGCAAAACATTAAGTTAAAACAAGATGAAGTCCAACAACACAAATTATCCAAAACTTTGTCACACATACTACGACAGATCCCGCAAGCACATCGATAATGTATGTAGCTCTTGACATCGTTAACATGAAGTATATACAGAGAGAGAGATCACACATTGATGATCAGATATTTCTCTTACTCTATGTGGATGATATGCTAGTAACAGCTAAAGACTTGGAGAAGATCAAGGTCTTAGAAGAGTTTGAATAAGGAGTTTGAGATGAAGGATCTAGGACCAGCCACTAGAATCCTTGGAATGGACATCATCAGGGACAGAGAGAAGGGGTTTTAATGTTATTAAAATTATTGTTTTAATAAAAAATGTTATAGAATAAAATTTGGTATAAAACATCGTACAAGTATATGATTTGTCATTTTTCTTTAATTGTTTTATATTATTAAATATTTTGCTATTAGTAAAGATTTTAAAAAATATTTTGACAAAATATTAGAAATTAAAATACCAAAATATGTACCCGTTTAGGTATATATGTATTTGTTTATTAGTAAATTTTATTGGGAAATTGTTAAAAATACCCCTTTTGGTGTGCCCCTTTTCAAAAATGTCCATTTTAGATGTCCATTTTCAAAAATGCCCCTTTTTAAATCTGAAATTTTTATAAAGTTTTATTAGGTTTATAAGGTACTTATGGATTGTAACTATTACTTGAAGACTCGATCCAAGTATTTATAAGGTTTTATAAGGTGTTTTAAAAGGTTTTACAAGTTATTTTAAAGGATTTTTAAGGTTTTTCAAAGGTTTTATAAGATATTTTAAAGGTTTTTAAAAGTATTTATAAAGTATTTATAAGATTTTAGATACATAGAAATGTAGTTTGTGTATGTTTTAATAATATTACATACATATTTGGGTAAATCTTATATTTTTAAGAGCATTTTTTATAAGGTTTTAAAAAAGGGGTATTTTTGAAAAGTGACATTGAAAAAGTGGCATTTTTGCAAAAGCTCCAATTTTATTTGTGGTTTAATTGAAAATAATTTTTAAAATTTTTTTTGCCAAGTGGACTAACAAGGAAGAGTGAAACCTTACTTTTATATGTATGATTTGATAGTAATCAAACAATTGATTCTTACATATAATTTAAATTGTTATTTATTATAAAGGCGCAATATGGATGGACAACGAACGGGACAATAATAGTATATTTCTTCTCGATCACATCATCGTGTAGGAGTGCTTTAGGGATGGGAATACAAAACATATTTGATGAGACAAGCCGGACCGCGTTGATTGTGGTTGGGGTCTTGAACGCATGTTCCGCGGGATTATTGAACTATATGGCACTTGTTGATGTTTTGGCTCTAAAAATGGACATGAAACTTGAGTCATGTGCTTATGTTGTCGTTTTTATAGGTGTTGGGGGAATGTATTTGATGTCTAAGTGGGCATAGCACTGCTGAGTTAGAGGTCATCCTTACTAGAGACATATTTGATGTCGTTTTTTTCCATGAGCTTTTTTATATTCTCTTGGAGACATTTTGAAGTTTGGAATTCATGAGAGGTAGAAGAAAGAATACTAGAGATAAATCCAGACAATCCCATCTTCAAGACTTAAATCAAAAACGAATTACGAAATAAAAATACATAACAGTAAGTTTCGGTTAAGAGTGAAGCAAGTGAAGAATCTTTTAAAACAAAAAGGTTTTATTTGAAGATATGAAGGAGAAGACTCTAGAGGAGAAAGAGGGTTCAAAGCAAACTCAAGATGTACAAACCCATGTGTGATCTGTGTGTTTTTAAAACAGAACCGTACAACTAAAGCTTATGCCATGAGGAGACAAAGTGTGCAAACCTCCCAAGAGCATTGACACGGAAAGACGAAATTATTACCTGCCACTATGCCAGTTGAGACTTGAGAAGAAACATTGGGGGTTTTGGATGTTTGAAAACAAGTTCTGGTAAAAGCAGCACAAGGTACTATGTCAAAAGATTCTATCAAGCCTTGTCTAATAGAAGAAACTTTGCTAATGAAACAAACAATGATACCAAAATAGTGAAAGAGATATACCCAAGTAGGATCCAAATGCCTTTGTACAGGTTGGAACAGAGGTGGTAAAACATTAACAGAGAAATGAATGTAAGAGACAGAATTAGCTAATGCACGATATTGATTTTCTTCTATTATAAAAATATTTGCAAGTCTCCTCTTTTGAAACTCAATATATATATTCTTAGGAAAAAAAGCATTCGAGCAGAGCTTACAAACACGTCCATTGGAATAAAAAAAACAGAAAACAATTTGAACCCAAAGACAGAGCTTAGCAGAAGAAAGAAGAAACATGAATGTTTTCATACACTAACCACATAAAAAACAGTAGAAAGGATAGGCATTGCTTGCGTGTATAGGCTTTCCTCCACCAAAAACTTTGGTACAATCAACAACTGATTCTACAGAAGGAAATAGAGTATCTTGTTGTGCGGTGTCACCAGGCGGCTGTAATAAGAGAACAATTTGATTCCTCGATTTCATAGAATGAAGAACCCTGTACAACTCAGGGTGTTGTTTCGCAATAACCATATAATTCATGGGAAAGCTCACTGCTAAGAAAGAAACAATCTCTCCAATCATCCTCCAAACACAAGAATCATCACCCGGTGAAACTATAGATAAACAAGAGACCTAGATTACTACAGACATATATAATAAGTAGAAGAAACGAGAAGAGTGTAAGTTAATAAGTAAAGGAATATTCATTCACCTTCAGGATCGTATGCGATATTGGCCATGGACAAGGCATCTACGTCGTGGTACAAATTTTTACCAAAGGCCATGATTGACAGAGGACCATGAAAACCCATTTTATGGAGAGCTAATTCGATATTAGGATAAATCACACCAAGATTGGCACCTCTAGGGATTGGATAATCCTCCAAGTTCCAGAAGACAACTGTCTCATCCTCTTGACAAAACAGAAAACGCATAAACGAGTGAGTTTCGAAATAAAGGATACAAGATATGTTAGATCTACATTGACCATTATTATACTATGACTGATCGACTAAATCAGGGCTAGCTTAACTATGACAGATCGATCATATAAAACCTAAACAAACAGATTCGGGTTAGAGAAAGAGAGAGATCTTACTGGAGGCATATTCGATCTTGGAGAGGTCTTCGCCCATGGTTCGACGGAGAGAATTGGAGGATTTCTGTCGCTAAATTAGGGTTAGAACGGCCTTTGTATTTGTCTACGGATGCGAGAGAGAGAATCATCTGTGCCTGGCACGTTTTTAACCGTTGGATCTCAATAAACTTTTTAAGGGTGTTAGATCTGAGGGTTGTTTATTTTTTCTCATCTAAATAATTTGTTTTCTCTGTTTATTGTACAAGAGCTTTACACCTGAAAACTCACTGGACGCTCGTTATGAGTCTAGCGATTAATCAGGAAATCGGATTAAAATCGGGGACTAGTTTTAAAGTTATTTTAAATATTTTTAAAACATATTAATCCATTATTTTTTCAAAATTGTAGTAAACATATAAAAATGTATGCAACTGTAATTTCTCAACAATATCTTTGGAGATTAAATTAGCACAACTACCAAAGTCAATAACAAAACATCAAGGCGTGTCGTTTGCCGTGCAGGTTGATTGAAAGATTTATGGTTTTTGACTTTTACCATCGGTGTTGTCGTCTAAATATCCCTGGCTCAACATAAATAGATGTCCAATATCGCCCACTACATACTCTGCTTCATCTCCATCTCCATCGTCATCAAATACTGGTTTAGAGTCAGCTTGAAATTCTTCAGCAAGCAAACCTCGTTGATTTCTTGTGGGACATGATGTTTGTCGATGGACAGGTTCACCGCAAGAAAAACACTTCAAAACATTTGAAGGACGAGAAGGTCGAGATAGATCACCATTAGATGAAGAATCGTGTGGCTGGACTGTTGGAGATGAAACAGTGGCTTCATTCAATAGAGGACTTGTTGAAGCGGGTATAGTTCGAGTCGTTGTTTGTCCATTCATGTTACTCCAAAAGGTATTAGCTCCACGGCTCTGTCGTTCTACTGTGAGGGTTTATTGGTGTGCTTCAGAAATCGTCAATGGTTGGAAAAGGTTAAGCGTGTGTTGAATTTGTTTTCTAAGACCGCCAACGAAACGTGCGACGAGCTGCAACTCCGAGTCATGTGTATCCACAATTAATCATCATGAAAACTCTGTTGCATAATCTTCCACCGTACGATTTCCTTGTCTTAAATTATGAAATCTCTGAAACATCAATTGATCATAATTGTAGGGAAGAAAATGTTATCTTAGCTCAATGGTTGAGAGGCTCTTATGTGTCTTTAAGATCACCAGTTCAATTCCACCTAGACGGAATTTTCAATATTATTTATGGTTTTTGACTTTTACCATCGGTGTACTCGTCTAAAAAGAGATGCATAAGTATTTCAATAAATACTTAGTTAGGCAATCCTCCCATCTACGAGCTATACACATAAGCAACTAAAGATCACAAATCAACATATAATCCATAAAAACAAACTAAACCAATGAAAATCATCCAATAACACTACCATCTCACGGATTTCAATTCTGGATCCATCAAAAATCCAACCTACACATCACAACAAACAATCACATAATCCCAATCGCTTAAATAAGCTCATGGTCACGCACTCACCTCAGCTTAGAGATGATTTTTGAACAAATAACAACACCACACAACCACAGTTGACTTCTTCCTCACGTCAACAATATCTTAAATATCAATTAAACCAAACTGTAAAATTCTGAGAAAATCCCAGAATTGTCAGCCTGAAAAATTGGATCACAAAACGAGATCTAACCGTTCAATTTCTAATCCCACCGTTGAAAAGCTTTCCCTAGGTGTCCTGAAGTTACCCACAACATTTCGTGACTATCAGACAGAGGGTTCGCTCGCAATCTGTCTTTGAACACACACACTGGTCCAAATCATGTAAGAAACAGAAGAACTCACGAAAACAGGGATAACTCTTAGAATATTGACTTTCATAAATATCCGTTAAAAGCTATAAGTAGATATAAGTCTTACCTACAATCCCTGAAAATTTTGTCATCTTCGGAAACGAATTGATATGACGAAACGTTGTTCTACCAAAACGTGTCATGTCTGCCTCTCTTCTCCTTTCACCATACTTCAAGCTCTCCTTCCTCACACAAAACTTAGCTCTCTTTCTCTTCTTTTTTTTTGCAGTTCACGAGACACAAGAAGAGGAGGCTGGTGTCGTGATATAGAGAAAATAGGGTTCTTTGGTTTAATTTGATTAAACCAGGATTTTACTAAACTGAGAATTAATTAAACCACCTCTTTTGTTTAATTAATAAATTGACCCTTTAGTAAACCAGTTGAAATTGAACCGACTCTACTTCAATTCCCGACATAAACATCTATTTTTTTGTTTGGAATATGGGCGTTACATATATAGAAATTAATAACCGATCGGTTAATCTGTCAGATACGGTTCGGATTTTAATCCGATTTTTCCGGTTTGGATCCGGTTCGGATTTTCGGTTTCAGATTAAACGTCCAAGCCTAATTGATATAGTGATCAATGGACTTGAATAAAACGTTACTGGACAGTTAATTATATTAATTGTTGTTATATTAAAACTGATTCAATTTCTATTAGTTTGTATCACTTTAAACAAATTGATATAAAATATATATTTACATCATTTAGATCATTGATATATCTATTAATATATATTAAAATCACTCTTTTTAAATGATACAAAATTTACATCAACTAGATCATGACCCGTGCTATACAGCACGGGTTTTATTATTTTTTTTTTGAAATATATTGTTCATTTAATTTGAAACATGTAAGAAATAACATAGTGTAATAATTTAGTATAAAAGGGAATTAATCATATAGTTTTATGTTTATTACTATTTGGACATTATATTGTGTAGTAGTTATTTGACGATAATTGTATATTTTAATTGTAGAAGTAAATGATACTATATTAATTTATTTTTGGTATATTTTCCTTATAATAGTTGGTTAATTTAATTTATATTGATTAACACTACATGAATTTTAATTTGGTTGAAGACATGAATTGGTAATAAAATGATGTAGTATATATTATTTTATAATTAAATATATTTAGTTGCATTAGATTTGTATTTTGTTTTATAAGATTAACAATTTATTTAAGTAAAGTAGTAATTGATAATTAGATATAAAAAAGAAATTGTTGTATTGGCTCTGGTTTGTTTAGTGGGCTATTTTTTTGGGTTTATTTGGCCCAGTTTGTTTATTTAAAAAAAAAATAAATAAATAAATCAAATAACAGATCGCAAACCAGAAATTTCCGACAGTTAATCCGAGAAAACTAATGTCGAATTCTACACAAATTTTCGGATTCAAATTCGACCTCAAAGACTACGCAGATTGAATTTCTTGCCCAATCCGTTCATATATTTCGAGTAATTGAAGCACGTCGGAGTGGTGATGAAAGGTAAAGTTCAATCCGAAATTGTTGTTTATAAGTTACAGAAATTGATTAATTAAGTTCATGAGCTTATTGATGATTGAATCGATTTAAGAAACAACAAATTATGCAATAGCTGATTGCAGATTTGAATAAAATTTTCGGTAATGAAATTGTCGATTTCAATGAGTTGTGAAGAAGAAGATCAGCGAGGAATCTAAACACGGTTGATCTACTTCAGCATGCAATTCAAGAACAGCTGATTGCAACAGTAGACAAACACATAAATGTCCAGGTAATTGATAATGACCACTATTGTTTATTAGTTAAACAAATTGATCTATATGTTATTGAACTGATTGATGCATGAATCGTTTTTTAGATTTGGTAACAAATGAAACATTTGATTTTGAAACATGTAGATTAGAATATTGAATTCATAATAGAATTGTAAAATCGATATACTGAGTTAAACAGAGTGATGGCATTCATTTGTTTAGAAGAAGAAAAAGTTCTATAATCTAAATTCGAGTCTGGTAAATAAATGAAAGAAATACCAAAAAATGAAAAACTTTAAAACTAATGTTGTTGCTTCTTCAAATGCAGAAGAATGGTTTTCATACTCTTATCCCTTTAAACACGTCCTGAGTATACTTCATCCTTTCAATTCCTTGTTTTGATGCTGAAAAGTTGTAGAAAATGAAAATAGAAAACAACATAATGTCATCAGTCATAAAAACAACTTCTACTCTAGTCTATAAGAATGGAGAAAACCATTATGATTAGTTAACATATTTACCTAGTCGAATTAGAACTCTTTTAGATTCTTTCCATGACTGTCTTTAGTGAAGGTTTTGAAAGACTTCTTTATAAACTACATTCATTGTTTTGCTCTGTGGCTTACCTTTCTTGTCTGTTATAAGAATCTTCAAACCTGATATAAGAGTAAAATTAATAATCTTATACATAATTTAAACAGTCATATTCTGGATATAAGTATCTTCATACCTGATTTTGACGACACTCTAGAGATTGCCACGTATAGTTGACCATGTGAAAAAACAGGTCTAGCAAATAAAGTCCAACGGAAGATAGTGTCTGTCCTTGACTCTTGTTTATGGTCATGGCAAAAGCAACAGATAGAGGAAATTGTCTACGCCTCATTTTGAAAGGCAATCTGGCATCTGATGGTGTGATGAGCATTCTAGGAATCAGAACAATCTTACCAACTTTGTTACCTGTGATAACTCTAGCTTCAATTACCGTGTCTGCCATTTGAGTGACCTGTAATCTTGTCCCATTGCATAAACCTTTATTAGGATCCATGTTTCTGAGTAGCATGACCGGACAACCAATCTTCACACGCAAACAATGGTTTGGCAATCCAGAAACTCTAACACTGTTCAGAAAATCAGGAGAATATGCGACATCATTCGCAGCACTTGTGTCTGAAGGGTCTATACTATCAGAACTTAGGTAAATTCTCTCTTCACCTAAAAACAGAATGAAAATGGATGCAAATTTGATATAAGCTTGTATTGAAATTGTATCATATTCATCTGAAAAAAATAAATAAGGAATGGTAAAAGTTAACTAACCATCCAACATACTCAGCATATGCTCATTTATGTTGTTGACATCCTCATTAGTAGGACAGAGAATAGCTCTACCTTGAAAAAATTTAGGATCTTTCTCCACCATAAAGGTATTTCCATAAACTGCATCGATGATGGATTCCATTGGATCTTTATCCCGAGTAATAAGTAACTCTTTTGGG